AGAAGAAATGATTCTTCATGGCTCTCCCACCAATGTTCTTCATAACCACAGTGTAGGAAAATTTTCTGAAAATTATGGGTTCAAACCAAGCTGTCCCAGAACTTCCCATGGAAGCCAAGTTTCAAAGGCACAGTACTCATGGGGATGGGACAGGGCTTGCACTAAATCAACGTCACTTTAGTGACCAAAAGCAAATAAGCTGGCAATGTTTGCTGTTTTTAGCATTTGTTTCTCTGGGGCTGGTTGAAAAATATCTCTTTGTGAAGTTTTTAAAAATAAATAATCAAACAAGATGTCACTTTTCCTAGGATCCAGAAGACTGCTAGATGTTATAAGATTTAAAAACAAGCCACTGACCGGGCACGGTGGCCCATACCTGTAATCCCAGCACTTTGGGAGGCTGAGGCAGGAGGATTGCTTGAACCCAGGAGTTCAAGACCAGTCTAGCAACATAGTGAGGCCTCGTCTCCACAAAAAATTCTTAAAAATTAGCTGGGCATGGAGGCACATGTCTGTAGTTCCAGCTACTCAGGAGACTGAGGCAGGAGGATCGCCTAAGCCCAGGGGGTCAAGGCAGCAGTGAGCTGTGATCCCACCACTGCACTCCATCCTGAGTGACAGAGTGAGAATCCTACTCAAAAACAAATAAAAAATAAGTCAACACATAAACAAAAAACAAAGGCTTTGGGGCAGAAAATTATGTTTGTAAAGAGTGCCTTGTCTGTGATAACATACATAGGATACAATGAATCAGACTCTGGAGCCCAGCTCAAAGACTGGAGGTGAAGTGAGAGTGAAGCTAAGTTAAGTGGAGGTGATGGGATGGATAAGGATATTATAGGAGGGAAGTTTAGAAGAAAAACAGTATAGCGTCTAACAGCTCATCCAGATAAAGGCTAGTGGGAAGAAAATCAAAATGTTGCAGAGTGTTCTAGAATTGATCTAAGTCACTTACTTATTTTCCTTGAAAACAGCTTTATTCCAGGGACGTAACTTTCATTGTGTTCCTAATTCTAAAGGAGTATATGAGATAAACCCCAAACACCCGGAATTATCTTTTGGAGGGCGGGCCTCTTGGAGTACAGTCAGAATTTGTTCCTCTGGATCAGTCAACCAAAGCTCTCATCTAGAAGTTCTGAGAAGGTTTCGTCACATTTTGCAGAAGAAACATCCAGAGTGGCAAACAGGTGACTGGTTCTTCCACCATGACAACACACCTGCCCACATCGTGCTGAGTGTTCAGCAGTTTTTGACCAAAATGGCCTGACCCCTGTGCCCTGGCCGCCCTGTTCACCCGATCTCACCCTGAGTGACTTTTTTTTGTTGTTTCCTCAGATGAAAACAAGTCCCCAAAGGGAAATGTTTTGCTGATATGGAAGAGGTGAAATAAAAAATGGCAAAAGGCAGGGCGCAGTGGCTGAAGCCTGTAATCCCAGCACTTTGGGAGGTCAAGGTGAGAGGATTGCCTGAGCCCACAGTTTCAAGAACAGCCTGGGCAACTCGGCGAGACCTCATCTCTACAATAAATTAAAAAATTAGCCCAACGTGATAGTGCATGCCTGTAGTTCCAGCTACTTGGAAGGCTGAGGCAGAAGGATCACTGGAGCCCAGCAGGTTGACACTGGGGTGGCTGTGAACTTGCCACTGCACTCCAGCCTGGGCAACAGAACAGAGTGTGACTCTGACTCAAAAAAAGAAAGCACTAAAATGCATCAAAATCGATGAGTTCAAAACTGTTTTGAGCAATGGAAACTGCATCTCCAAAGGTATATGGCATCAAACAGAGAGGACTTTGAAGATGACTGAAGTTTAGACATATAAGAATAAATACACAATTTTTAATAAATAAATCCCGGGGTTTTTTGGGTTCCCCCTCATATATGACCTTTTATTTTGCTCAAGTTAATTAGAGCTAAACCAGTGTGACCACAGTCAATAAAATCAATCTTTCATAGAAAACATAATTTACAGCTTTTAATAAGCAAACAATAGTCCTCTTCACAAACATCTTAACAATTGTAATTTGCTACAGTGAATATTCTTCATCTCAAGATTGCAAGTCCAAAGTCCCTGGAAACTAATCAGATAACCTTGCAGTATTACAGGAAAGCACTTAGCAATTGACCAAAACTCAAAACATAGATGACAAGACAAAGAATAAGTTTAGACCTAACTTAGACATTGTGGTGAGTGGTAGATAGCTATGGCCTCGTCCTTCCTCCTCAGCTACGCAAAGACTGTTTGTTAGGAACACCTGCGTTCTCTCACTTGGGTTCCCAATTGGAAATTGTGGTTTCCAGCAAAAATTCAATTTTAATAAAGGCTGAATTAAAGGTATTTGGAGATCATTTTAAACTTTACACTGGATATGAGTTTTCATTTATTTATTTATTTATTTTTTAGTCTCACCCTATTGCCCAGACTGGAGTGCAGGGGCACACTCACAGCCACCACAGTCTCGACCTGTTTACTGGGCTCAGGCAATCCTCTCACCTCTGCTTCCCAAAGTGCTGGGATTACAGGATGAGCCACTGTGCCCAGCAGGATATGAGGTTTCAAGAAGAGAAACAAGTAGAAGAAACGAGGCATTTGGCATGACTTTGGTTATTAAGCATTTAAGAAGTTACCAGGTCTAAGCATCATCCTGAGTGCCAGGAATACAGCAGAGAACAGGGCAAGGCAGGAACCCTTGGAATCACATTCTGGTGGAGGGGAAGGGGGACCCTGGAGTCACATACTGGTGGAGGGGAAGGGGGACTGACCACAAGCAAAGTACATGAATCAATAAGTAAGAATTGGAAGATGCGGGAATTACAGAAGGAATAAAGCCAGGAAAGGAAACTGTGAGTGACAGGTGAAGACAGGAGACTGCAACTGTCAACAGGATGGTCAGGAGAGCCTCTCTGAGAAGATGGGATTTAGGCAGACTTGAAACAAGACAGAAACTGAAGTTGCTCTCTCACTCAAACATCAACAGGCAGAAGGCTTTCTAGGCAGAGGAACCATAAGGGCCTAAGCACGTCTGCTGTACTCTAGAACTGTGCAGTCCAAGGCAGTAGCCCCTGACACATGTGACTATCTGAACTTAAATTGAACTTAAGGCCAAGTGCAGTGGCTCACCCTGTAATCCCAGCCCTTTGGAGGCAGAGGGTGGGAGGATCACTTGAGCTCAGGAGTTTGAGACCAGCCTGAGCAACATAACAAGACCTCATCTCTACAAACATCAAAGGCAGGCATGGTGGCGCACACTTGTAGTCCCAACCACTTGGGAGGCTGAGGTGGGAGGATCATCTGAGCACAAAAGGTCAAGGCTGGGATTCCAGATGTGAGCCACTCAGCCCTGTCGAAATGGTTTTAATGAGAACAGAAGAGAGGGATGTTCCTGCAAAGGAAAGTTGAATAAATGGAAGCATTTCCAGCACTTACAGGAGTCTCTCAACAACTGGTTATTAGTTCCTGCTAAATGCTGGCATCATTTGTGTTGAACATTATGACATATATATATATGTATATATATGTGTGTGTGCGTGTGTGCGTGTGTGTGTGTGTGTGTGTGTGTGTGTGTGTGTGTGTGTGTGTATAACTCAGAGTTTAGTGAGGCCACTAAAAAAGTGTGACCAGCTTTTGGGAGACAGAGGAGAGAGGATTGCCTGAGCCCAGGGTTCGAGACTAGCCTGGACAACTTGGTGAGACCTTGTCTCTACAATAAATTTTTAAAAATTAGTTGGACATAGTGTGTGTGCCTGTAGTTCCAGCTACTTGGAAGGCTGAAGTGGAAGGATTGCCTGAGCCCAGCAGGTCAAGGCTATAGTGGTCGTGGGCATGCCACTGCACACCAGCCTTGGCAACAGTGAGACTCTTGGGCAACAGTGAGATTCTAAAAAATCAAAAACTTAGAAAGGGTGAACACACGTATTAGAATTTATTATTCTCAACTTCTCACCCTAGGTGCCACATTGATAATTTAAAAATTGGTGGGAGGACCCAAGTCATGTGTGATGAAGAGGTGATTGTAAACTTTCCTGCGTTCTTGATGAAGAGGGAATGGTCAGTGCTGGGTCTTTAAAACCCTAGAAATGAGGTTGAGGAGAGAGGACCGGAGTTCTTCCAACCCCCTCCCCTCAGGAGCCTGGCTAAAGGTGCCGGGGGAAGCCCACAGGCTCTTGTCAGATGGGATGTCAGAAGCCAGCGGATCTAGCTCAGAACACTGAGATCCCAAAAGGACATTCACCCATCATCCAATGCATCTCTACTGTTTAGCAGACCAGGGCTGAGACCCAGAAGGGTTAAGTCAAGTGCTCAGTCATTCAAGCAGCAGGCGTAGAGCCAGGCCCAGAGGCGCCCAGAGCCCACCCTGTAAGCTGGAGACGCCTACGAAGGCGGCAGGGCCGAAGGGGAAGCAAAGCACCTCGGGAATTCCACTCTGGAAGGGAAGGGGTTCCGGGAAGCCTGTGGGGAGAGGGATAAATGAGATTTGAAGGGTGCTTGTGGTTTTGTCGGTAGGATACCGGTTCCGTACAGCTGTCTGCGCCGAGCAGGCCATCCGAAAGCCCCAGGTATTGAGACTGGGCCTTACAGCGCTGACCTGGGTACAAGCCGAGCCTGCAACACGTGTCCTGGGTGTGTGTTTGCACAGGCTCCCTGGGTATCCCCAGTGGGAGACCGCGGGAAGGCAGGAGAAGGGGAGTGGTGGGAAATAACTCGGGAGGGGCGGTGTGGACCGTCCTGCCCGGGGCGGGAAGGGGGAAAGAGGGCGGCAGGCTTGTCCAGCGGGGCTGCGGTTGCTAGGGCAGCCGGCGTCCTTGGTGACGCCGGTGGCGGGGAGGGCGCGCTCCCTATGCCGCCTGGCGCCGAGCCGGGTACTGCAGCGGCCCCGGGTGCCTGCCTTCCCTGTGGTCCGGACAGCGGCTGCGGCGGCCCTTGGGAATCACACGGCGGGGCGCTGTCGAGCGACCGCAGCCTCCAGCCCCCAGAAGCCCGCCGGGCCCTCCCGCACTCACGCCGTACTCCCGCATCCAGGAGTCTAGCCTGCCCTGGAGCGTGCGCAGAGCCTCGGTGGAGACCAGCCTCCGCAGGTTCTCCGACATCCTCGCCGAAGCCCTCGGGGACACCGGGACGCGCGGGGGGCGAGGCGGCGGGAGGGCGCGATCCTCGGGGCCTCAGAATGCGGCGGGTGTTTCCATCCTCCCTCGGGTCGGACCGGGTTGGGGAAGCC